ACTAAACTAGATACTGCTTTTTGTAAATACTTTCAATCCACAACGAAGTTTGTTCCGAAACAATTTTTAAAATTCTGGTAATTCCTGACCCGATCTGAATATCGGGTACCGAAATTTTAGAATTCTCGCAGACCTGTAATATTTAATAACCCACCTTATTAACATTTATAACTGTATTTAATAAAGGAATAATCTATGAAATAATAAATAAAATATTTATAATTTTAATGTTTTAAGGTCTTAATAAATAGATCACTGTATATGCAACTTTTTTATATTGCAATTAAGTAAAATAAACAATTTGTTGCTAATAGGAATATTTATTTTACTGATAGCAAATGTAATTTTTGATTAGCTTTGTTAAGATGAAAATGTTAAGAATAATAGGTATACAAATAGAATGGTGTTGCATACTTACAACAGGATATTTTTTCAGAATTGGTATTTCCGCATGATACACGTATCTTTGTCCTGCTTCGACTGGACACGTGGTTGATAAGCAAGCATCGGGGTCCATTCCCAAAAATGGAATATCCATTACTTGACTAGCCCAGAAAATTCGGACGTTCATCTTGTCTGACGAGAAGTCTACAGAATAACAATTTATACATTTCTTTTATATGGCCATCGTTAGTGGGATTTCAAATTAATCTTCTAACCCTTTGAAGACGTACTTTCAATATTTACGTTATTTGCAACTTTTATAAATTTTTACAATCAACATAAATATAATCGAAGGTTTGATCAGATTTTTTAAAAATTCTGATATCCTGAAATTAAGATCCTAAAATCCTAAAATTCCTTAATAGGTATAAAAATAAGTTGGGGATGAAGAAAGGGTTGGGATAGATATTTATTGTTACTTTTTCTTTGTTGAAAGTTACGGCAATCAATATAACGCGTTCACCTACTAGAGCAAGAAATAAATCAAAATTTTCTTTTGATTAATAGTTCAGAACTGAAATATCTTAACTTTTCTGTTTTTCCTAAGATCAACTACTCATTATTAAAAGAAAGAATAGACAACTTACCAAGCACGATGGTGAATAATATAAGATAGAAGTATACATAAGTATATTGGAAGTTTGCTGTATGTTGTCTAAAAATCTGGCAAACGGAAGAGATGAGAATTCTGCCACACGCGCACTGTCGCAGTCACGGTTGGCCTGTTCTACGACTAGCCTGACCGGCAGTCGGTATTTTGCCGAACAATCAGTTACACGAATCGCGACGCAAACTCAGTCTCTACGTTACACGGGCTCTACGTCACGTACCTAACGATTTTTCGATGAAGAGTGATTTGCCTCAGTCAGTGATCGTAGTCTCAGGGTTCGACTTGAGATCGGTACCCTGCGTGGGGACATCACTAGCAAATCCTAGTACGAGTCGAAGAGCACGGTCTATTCCGTGATTGGTTTGTAGTGACGCGCTAACAGAACTCTCATCCCTTCTTGACTTCCTTGTTCTCTTGCTCTGTCTTCGAGTTATCTATTCGGCTGTAGTTCCGAATACGACCGGTCGCCGATTAAGATGAAATTTTGAGGGGGAGGGGGGAGAGTGGAGGGAACCCAAAATATAAAGTGGTATCTTCAGTTTCCTATTAGTAGTTTCCAAGATATTAATTAAAAACTTTCGTACAATACATAGAATTTTTCCTATACAGACGCAACTAACACTACCGTCATCGTCAAGTGTCGAACAGCCGTTGACACCATAGCGATATCGGCTTCCGTTTCTATAGGGTGTTCCATGTAAAATCCATTTCTTTAGTTACATTACGTTATGTTTTATATTTTACTACTAATTCTCAAGGAATTAAACACATTTGATTTATATGTAGGTTAGGTTAGGGTAGATAAATTTCCGACCGCCGGAAGGCGGCCGGCAACGCTACAACAGTCGTCGTATCTCCAAAGTTTTGAATAAGACACCCTATACATAGTCAGGTTGAAACCCCCGCTGTGACAACAGCTGTTCGACACTTGACGATATCAGCTTACTACTGCGAAGACGGTAGTGTTAGTTGTGTCTGTACAGGAAAAATTCTATGCATTGTACGAAAGTTTTTAATTAATATCTCGGAAACTAATAGGAAGCCGAAGATACCACTTTATATTTTATATTCATCTTGATCGGCGACCGGTCGTATTCGGAACTACAGCCGTAATTTTTGGCTGTAAACGCGTTAATAATTTAGTCGAAAATATTCCTTCGCTTGAAATAATTGGCAAAGTTTCGGTTGCCAGGCAAATTCTCGAAATTTCTTACCGTGTATATTTATTGCCCTATTCGACCCTTATTCGAAAGGCTCCCGAACGTTCGCTGTCGTTTCGCCATATTCGCAGTGGTTATCATACACTCTTTTTGTATCATTTAACCATTTACCCCGTCATTCATTCTCGTCTATGCCGCTTTTTATTAACTATATTCATTTTGCATATAGGAACCGACTGGCGCTTGTACTACAGGGAGGAGAGGTACTCAGGTTATAGTATAACTAAAAATCATGTTTTCCTCAGTTCTACGCGGTTGGCATGGGAAGGATTCCGAGTGCGAAGCACTGCCTAATCGCGTAGCGAAGAGTGTTTATGAGATCTCTTCCATAACGGAATTAGTTTCATATATCTTATTGAATACGCAGTTAAATACGGCAATAGTTCCAAGGAAGATTAATTATGTTATTCGAAAGAACTAAATACATATAGTCTCCTTTGTGTGCCTCGCCTGGGATTACTTCCATGTGCGTCGCACTGACGAGGTACACAAAATCGGTATAATAGCAGTTGAAATAAAATAAAATGAACGAAATAATTTAGAAAAGTGTAATAATTATTATAATCTCAAACCCTTTTCTTGTGCTCCTCATATGGGAATTACCTCCAAGTGCTACCCACCCGATGAGGAACGCAAGGTGGAATTTTCAAAAAAATATTTTAATAATTATAAGACCATAACTAATGATTATATGCAACGCCGAATGAAGGGGATATCTAACAGTAAGGGGGCAACATCCCTGGGCCTCACTTTCTAGGAGTTCCTCTTTTAATCCTTCTATATACTATGTCAAAAAATATCGAATGAAATTGTTTTAAACTATTACAGTTGTTTTTTGAAATTAAATATGTAATTTGAGGTAATAATAATATTTAATTCGGTCCTGATTATAATATAATTTGTAAGTTATAATATAAGTAATATTATAAATATATCATTGTAAAAATCTTGTATTCACCGCCATACGAAGTGAGCGTGTTATAAAATCATTTATTTAATGTTTTAAATAAAATTCATTTATGTTCGGCTTGATTTTATTTTAATTAACATTTATTTCTTTTCAAAAGAATTTCCAAACCAAATGTGAACAGAATTTATGTTGCATTCGTGAAACTATTCATAACATCTGTTACATTTATTAAACTTTTTCATTTAATCATTTTTTAATAAACAATGTCCAACACGTGTGGAATGCTTTTTCCCTAAAGAATAACATGGAACGATTTCAACTCTTTACATGGAGGTATGAAAGAAACATCCCTAAACTTTATCATTTTTGTTCTCGAAAATTATTTAAAATATTTGGATAAATCAAAATGTAAATTTTGTTCTTTCTGATCCAAGTACACATATAGGTATATCTCTGTTTCAAAATATTACTTCAATATGAGTTTTTGCATATAACGAAAGGGAATACGTAATTAGAAAAAATAATTAAATAAGTTTTGGATAATGGATAAAAATTATACATGCTAGAAGACTTACCAGGTGTGTAGTGAAAAGTCATGTTTGAAGTAATTCCTCTTTTTACTTTACATGGTTTCTCCTCTGCAGCTTCTTTACAGGGATCTAAATACACTTCATGTATGGTGCAATTTGATGGTGTATTAGCTGAAAAAAAAGAATGATCATTTTATAATGTAGTTTTTGGAACTAATAATTGATGTATAAATAATTTATAGAGGGGAAACCAGAACAGAATGGTACATCCGAGTAAAACCGCATACTAAATAGGTATAGTTACCTATTTCGATAATAATCAATTCGTAAAACATGGACTTTTACTATTTTACATCATATGGATATTTTACTATTTTTTCCCATATTGAGGCGTTTGTTACGAAATGAATTGTTAAATTTTTTCCTTTTAATGATTCGAATGATTCGATGTTTTGAAGGATTAGGAAACAATTTAATTTATGACCGATTTCGTTTTGGACGTGAAGCAGAAGAAAAATTGGATGAATATTGGACGTGTTGGTGGTGCAATATTTTACGTCCAAAACATTTTACTTCGCGGTAAATATTTAGATTACTGTTACCACACCCAATGTCGTTGATCTTTACATACATATATTGTAAAAGACATAGCTCTGAGTAGCTTTTCCTTATAACTTACATAAGAGGTGGTCTCTGATAGTTTCTAATTGTAAGCATCTAATAATATTGGCGCCCTGGGCAAGATTAACGATTACCCATTAAAATACAGGGTGTTCGACAACAGGTGGGCAAAATTTTAAGGAGTGATTCTAGGAATCAAAATAAGACGAAAATCAAGAATAATGAAATAGTGATTGCAGCTTTGTTTTCCAGTAATTAACGTTTAAAAATTCGAATAAAAAGCGCCTGAAACCTGCAATCCGCCCAGCACCGACGACTGAACGTCAGGTCAACAGGGGTCGGTACTGTCATAACCAAGAATCGTTGAATAGTATTAACTTACCTCGTGATATTCTGATTCTCGGTAATGCAGCATTCGGCTTCGATTCTTGGTTATGACTGTACCGACCCCTGTTGACCTGACGTTCAGTCGTCGGTGCTGGGCGGATTGCAGGTTTCAGGCGCTTTTTACTCGAATTTTTAAACGTTAATTATTGGAAAACAAAGCTGTAAGCCCTATTTCGTTATTTTTGATTTTCGTCTTATTTTGATCCCTAGAATCACCCCTTAAAATTTTGCCCACCTGTTGTCGAACACTCTGTATATCTATGTAGGTAAAAAACGCGTTAGGCAAGATGTAGACATAAATGCCGCAGCATATATGTAATATTACATATGAGATGTAGATAGAGAGAAGAGACAATGAGAAAATATTGGTATGTATTGTATTCGCATACTAAGGACAGCGGGCCTCGGCGCGCCCTACAAATCTAGCGCCCTGGATGATTGCCCGACCGCGCCCCCTTGCCTCTAACGCCAGCACTGATTGTAAGTTGATTCGGAACAAAAAGTCAGAATTTGAAATGTATGATTCGATGACTATTTGCAAACATAAATATTTACTCTTAATTAGTCTATCTTCATTGAAAAAATAAACCGTTCGTAATTGTTGTATTATGCTAAATTTGAATTGTATGGAATATGAATAAAGATAGGTGATATTAGGATAGATTGTAATGAAGATAACTGATGAACAAAAGATGTTGTTTAGACAAATCTTATTGTTAGTAAAAATTCATGTAAAGTAAAATAATCTAATCTAATTTAATCTAACATAACTTAATTTTAGTCACGATTGCTCGTGTTCTGATTTCGAATTTAAAACAAGGATTAAGTTTGGTTAAGTTATTTGATTAATATTTGTAGAAATTACTTAATAAATTTAGTGCATAATTTGAATGTATCGTAATTCCATAGGAGATGAAATATACGTATTACTGGTACCTCCTTCTATTTTAAATATCTCAAGAAATATAAGAAACCACCGATTAAGTTATAAAAAAAAGTTACTCAGAATTATGCCCTTTACAACATATACGAAGGTCAACGAAATCGGGGGTGGCTCCAGTAATCTGCATCTTTACTTGTCTACTTCGCTACTAGCTACAGTTATCAATGCCGTTCGTTCAATTTATGAAGACTTGAGTGAATAATGATTGTTATAGAGATGTGTTGATGGCTTCCACCATAATCATGACAAGAGTGTGGACAAGTTAATTTGAAAAGTAGCTCTAAAAATAGTGTACAGTAGCACTTCGGCAGTAGAAATTGCAACTTATGTTGCTGCCAGAGATGTATGAGAACCTGAGGAGGTAGGATCTGATCGATTTGAGAATTTTTCGCAAAATCGGAATGTTTGCATTTCTGAGAATCCAAGAACCTAAATCACCTTTCAGAACGAAGTTTGGATTTTCCAATACTATATGTTATGGAATTATACAATACATCCCACAGGATAAAGATAATGTAATAAATAAATAACATGATATTTTACTTCAAATTAGCGTGTAAGAAAAGGTAATTCCCCTACATTTCTTGTTAATACCTAATTTTATTCTTGTAGGTGTAATAATAATACCAGTAGTATATAATTTTTATATATACAGGGTGTTTGACAACAGGTGGGAGATTCTTTAAGGGGTGATTCTAGGGATCAAAATAAGACGAAAATCAAGAATGTCGGAACAGCGTTCACGGCATTGTTTTTTAATTATAAACGTTAAAAAATTTAAGTGAAAAGTGCATGACGATTGAATGTCGCGTCAGTAGGAGCCTGTATAGTCATTGTCAACAATCGTTGAATACTACAAGTTCACCACGTGCTATTCTGTTCTTAAGTGCTGCATTATTTAATGACATGTGAACAGTAGACAATCCCGTATTCATTTTACTGACAAGGGAATGGTCAAAAGTGGATGGTAGAGTTGCTCGTCCAGACTATGTTTATTCGAAAGAGAATGTAACGAGGAGTTTATGGCACAATTATTGGGTGCCATTGGCAACGGGTTTATGGGACTTTGAAATTTTCATATTTTTAAGTGCAAGTGATCACACAAGTGCAAATTCCATCACACATGCAATTTTCCTTGAAACTCATCTTAATTGTTAGTAAACATCATTTAATCATCTCAAATTCATGCCTTTGTCACTATTACAGTTAATTTTCATTTCATATTTCGATTTCTCATGTTTTCTAATCATTTGCACTTAAAAATATGAAAATTTCAAAGTCCCATAACTTTTGAACCCGTGGCCAATGGCACCGAGAAATTGCACCATAAACTCCTCGTTTCATGCTCTTTCGAATAAACATAGGCTGGACGAACAACTCTACCATCCACTTTTGACCATTCCTTTGTGAGTATGGTGTGTGTTATAACATTTCCTCTGAGATAAAAAAAAAAAGTTCAATACTAGGCAATGATTTTTCAGCACTTTATATCATTACTCTAATAAAAAAAAAGAATAGCAGGTGATAAGCTTTTAGTATTCAATGACTTTCGGCTGTGACTGTACACGCCCCTAGTGATACGACCTTTTATCGTCGGTGCTATGCAGGTTGCTGGTTTTAGGCACTTTTCACTCGAATCTTTCAACGCTAATAACTAAAAGACAAAGCCGCAAACGCTATTTCGTCATTCTTGATTTTCGTCTTATCTTGTCCCCCAGAATAATCTATTAAAATTTGTCTAACTTTTGTCGAACACCTTCTGTAACTCACAAACTAGGTAAAGTTTCAAACCTTATACAGGGTGCTACAATTTAAATAAACTTCAGTACCATGTAGAAGACCAATAAACTAAGAAGAACAAAATCATAAAAAAGAAACAAAAAAGGTTTTATTTCTTCACTTATTTATTCATATTATCATTTATTTAATGAAAACACTGTATACTATTATTTGTTACTAATCAACATAAGAGTATAACTAATCGTAAGAGACTAAATCTGTGGTGTAGTACACCAAATATTTTTCAAAGCAATGCTATTGTAAAGCAATTTAGCTACAATTATAACTAAAAGTGATGCTTGCACTGCTGCGAGAGTTTTTTGTACCATTGATGGCATTTTAAGTAGCATCTTCAATAAGTAGATAATATCCTAAATAAATAAGTGAAAAAACAAAAATTTCCATTTATTTCTGTTTTACGATTTTTTCAAAAATGAAACAAAAATAAACCTCCAAAGGAATTTATTGGTCCCCTATACGACAGCAAAGTTTTGGCATTTTAATTGGGGACATCTGGTGTCTAATATAATTATAAGAACATCTACAATTTTGTGTCATTCATTATCAATAGTTACTTGTTAATTAGTTTTCAAACGATTTGCATTTTTAAATACATTCAGTGTGCCAATAAGGAAATCCGTTTGCAATAACAAAGTTTTAATTAATCACAATTGTATTGCAATCTATCGGCATTATAAAATCACAGAACATATGACTCCACATAAGTGCACAATTAGACATTACATTGACTTAGGTATTCCAAAGTTGGCGCATTTTTATATTCTGTGTTAAAGGAAAGTTTAACTGTCTTTAAAAAATATTAACTTGATTTACTTCAACTAATTTCATATGACCGCACATTAAACATAAAATTTCCTTCATTAGATCACTTTTTGATTACGAAAAGCCAATTAAAAAAAACTTGTCCAGACGTAATACAATTAGATATGTAATTGATTATATTTTGTAAATTTCATCAAAGAAATAGTAAATAAATACTATTAATAAATTTCAAATTTAGTATATTGAAGGCAGTGGCTTGAAATTAGTTGTTACGGTACCGAACTTTTGATAATGTCTGTATGGATTTACGTCCTAATTAATAATTATTGACAACAGTGTTATCTTTGAAACGTAAACACTATGGTTTGCGTAATTATCTTACATTATATATCAGCAGAATACTTAAATATGTTTCCTTCTTTCTTACATGGGAGAAATGTATACATATAGTAACACAAAATTAAATAAAAAACTAAATGCGTTACTTATTGATACAGTAGTAAAAAATTGGAAACAATTTAAACAAATGAAAAACGATGTATTTAACAGAATAATTGATAAATACATCTACGATTTATATTCATTGCCTGATGATTTAAAGGTGTATCAAAAAATTAAATAAAGTTATTTAATAAACTGATGCTTTTTGTTAAATATAAATAGCATAAGCTTTAATTCTCTCTTTTTGTATTAGAAAAGAAATTTGAAACAGTAGAAACTTCTGTATCAGAAATTATGTGAACATGAATTTGTTAATATCTAAGCTTTATAAATATTGACATTGGTATCCTCTTACATCAAGCCATTTGAATTTAATAACCCTTAAGTATAAACATTCTTGTAGAAATTCATCTTTTATAATCAGTACACGTTTGATTATAATTCATACACTAAATATAAACGATACTTTCCACTTAAATAATGAAACAATGCACTTGTATCTTATAAATATTAGCACTTTGATGACCACATATTTCATAAATGTTCCTTTTCCTTCATAAAATAGATTTATATTTGACTACTTCAGTACTGTACACAGAAAAATTTATACGTTTTAACCATTGGATGGCGGATTATCAAAAAAGCCTCAATTTCATATTATTTCATTTTCTGAATTTGACTCTCTTCCTTTAAAAATTATTCTTCCAATACATCAAACTCTTTCGTTTAAAAATTATACATTTAATTTTAGGTTAATACCCTTGTATGTTTGAATCTCAATTGACCTATACTCCTCTGTTCGCGGGTTAAAGTACAATTTATAGCTGATACAGTAAATATTAATAAACCACAGGAAAACAATATTAAAATTTACGTACTATAATCAAAAATTGGTATCAACTCGAGAACACCATAATTATGAGAAAGCTAATTAAAATATCGTACAGTTCGTAAAATGTTTAACTACTATTGTTTAATTTTCAAGTAACGATCTCCGTATGAATCTCAGAATCTAAAAGTCCCCAATTTTCAATTTTCAAATTTGTCAAGTTGTTTTTATGGAAATATATTTAGAAGATAGTAGTTAGGTCAGTGTACTTTTTCCATTAAATGTTCCATTATCAAGACGGTAAAAATACAACAGATATCTTAATGAAGATTATCTATGAGACAATTATTTATAACCAGCTTTCTATTCTTAAGCTGATTATTTTTGTTTGAAACATTCAGAACATTCTAATGAACCGAATAAATTTGAGAAATTTTTGAAATTTTATGAGCATTACATAAAGATTTTGAACTACATAAAAATTTTACCTTGATTTTATTATCAAACTCTGCTGCTAATGTTCTAAGCAAGTCAATGTCTAACATATCACAAAAAGCACAGGGAGTTATTGAATTTGAATTTTATTTTCCATTAACCCGCGAGTGAAATAATTGAATTATTTGAATTGATACTCACAATCAGGGTAAGGACACGGTCGCCATGGGATGAGTTCTGCGTAAACCATGGACAAGGCCAGGAGCAGAAAAACGAAGATGAATTCACTGTGTCGGTTCATCCTCGATGGACGATCGTCGCGAAATGAAGGAAAGACGGGTCGAGTTTATGAACAGAAGGCGAACGATGGCCGAGGAGAGGTCCAAGAGTAGGGGCCATAGGTCAATTGAGATTGTATCTTTAACCGCGAGAAAACTGTACGCGCTTGCTTTATTTCTTCCAATGTATGTACGGCTAACCACGTTTATCACACTCTATTGTTCATGCGCTGATTCACTAGCTATCCCAATTGAATCAGTGAGTTTAAAGATAGTACAAGTCCAAAAACCACATTTTCAGATATTTTGAGAAAATACAGTCATTTACGAAATTATTGCTGTATAAAAATATATAAAATATTAAACAGTGGATCCTATAGTTTATATTTTACAGTATTAAGATTATGAAGGAAAATAGTAAAGATCAATTTAAAAATTTAAGAATAGTGTGACAATATTTTAACAACTACCGATGGTACGTATTCGTGACTTTAAGATGTAACTTTTTACAATAACACTTTTTTATTTAATTTTCATTTAGTGTATTATGTATGTGTTAATTATAATTGAAAAAAAACTAATTTCGTAAACTGATGGAAATATTAAAATGTAATCGACACTACAACTTATTTTGTAGAAATTTTTCTATCTTGATTGAAAAATCTTTCTATCATATATGTATAAAGAATTTCTGCATTTCTAAAGTACCAGAAAATGGTAACTGCATTATCCAAAAAAGATCAGAAAGGAACCTACTATACCTATATGAGGTGTACAAATTAATTCTGACTTATCTATTTTTTTTTTTTAATTGAAGATTTATTTTTAAAAAATCATGATAATTTCAATTATTTAAGTAATTGTTATTCAAATACATAGAAGCACGGGGAATTATTCAAATTTAAAATGATAATTAAGAAGGTCTGATACTAAAGGCACCACCTTAATTTGTACACCTAATAAATATGCACAAATGTTAAAATGTAATTATAATCATCGTTCCATTATTACAACTTTTCTGCCGTTCTTTAATTTGAATGGAGAAATTGCATGCTCTGAGAAAGTCACAGATGTCAATTATATGTCTAAGGATGAGAATTAATGGGAAAGTTGACAAACTGAATGTCACCTTAGAACACAGTTTTCTCATTTTACTTCCTGCTATTATTTTAAATCAGCACAAATCAAAGGAATCTAAGTACATGCTCCAAAAATGACAATAGGGTTGTAAAATATTTGTAAGCACGAATATTTGCAAATGCACTGATAACTTGATTTTTAACATTTTCTGTTTACTTTCTTTTTATTTTTGAAATCAGGTGAAAATACAAAATTCCTCTATATTCTATAGAATACGAAACTAATAGTTATACATCGAACACATGATGGGAATATAACATAAAAAAGGAACAATAGATTTGTATAAACATTGACGTAAGTAGGATTTTGTCTCGGATAGGCAAAATCCCTCAGAAATTTTATAATTTTGAAAATTTGAAATCTCAGAATTATGGAAGTTTAGAATGGCTAATCTACATTTTCATGGAGGGAATTGATCCACCTCGTTACTTACGATTAGTTACGCCAATGTGTTTAGACTTGTTTATTCTAACTTTCTCACGATATATTGGTAATGCAATTTTTATTGTTAGTTTTTCATTTATTATATTGAAACACGTGCAATAATTAAGTGAAAGAATTTTCTTGATTTTACCAATAGGAAGAGGAACGAGAAAAGTGATAAAAAGTTGTGATACTGATTCCATTCTTATATTTGTGCTTATTTTTTGAAACTGTCCCACTGCTTTTAGGATATATGATTATCCACTACTACTAAAATTGGCCAAAGTTTACCTTTGTTCTTTAAAGGTGTTATGATTAATTATTTTACATTTACTAACATTTTATTTCATTGCTTTTAAATAGGAAAGCTGTGTTAATTTGCAATAAGCAGTAATTGTGCACACGTTCCGCGTCAATGTGGTTGATTAAATCTAATTCAATCGCTCCACTGGAGCAACATTTAATTCGCACAGGACGCACAGTTTTGAAGCTACACTTGTAGTTAATTAGTATTGAAATTCTAAACTTCTGAGCCTATAACATCTAATAAGGATTATGTACTGCTTCTGTTTTAAATTGATTAATTAAAATAAAATTATAAAGGACATTCTTTCTTGTACAAGATCTATTCTTTGCACTTACTTTGCATTAACATAGAAATATAAAATGATTATGTAGCTTTCCTATATTTTTTAAGTTTTGCGAAAGAAATTGTTTGCAAAAAAAGTGAATGGTAAAATAATGTTACATTTGTCGATAAAAGCAAATTTCATGTTTTTAAGCTTGGTAGTCGCGTTATGGCAAAGCGCAAAAAATGAAGAATTTATAATAAAACATACAAAACCAATAGTTAAACACAGTGTTGCAAGAATATCATGTAAGGAGCGGTATTTTGTCAATGAAGATTGATGAATTACTTTTTATCAAAAGTGTTATGGACAACAACAGAAATGCAACAAATATGGAAATTAGCAAATATTTTTAACCTCTTCTGAGTAGCAGTTGCAAATATACAGCTCAAGTTATTGCAAAATTTCAATTGCATAATTGTCTAAAGGTATTATATTCTCCATCCCTGTATTGTAGAACTAGAAAAATAACAACAACCTGTAAAAAAATATTGCAACAAAAATTAAGGGATGAGTAAACATGAATCGAATTACAGTATGTACAGAAAGTTATTAATAACCCATTAATCAAAACAGTTATACTACGAGGTACTAAAGTATTATTGATTGTCGTAATATATTTTATTATATTTTATTCTTAATCTCTGAATTGTCCGAATATTGTAATGCCGAAGCAAGATATACTTTTACTTAACGTCAATTAAAGCAGCAGTCCTCTTCGTGCTAGAAAATATACCAAATAGAGAGCTTACGACACTGCTATCAGGCAAGGAACATATGTCAAACGGGAAGTTTTGTAAGTTTCCACATCATACCGTAATTGCAGAACATGCAGTCAAAGTTAAGGTAACGGAAATGTTAGTTCACCCAGTGCTTCCCAAAGTGGGTGATACCGCCTCCTTGTCGGCGTTGGGCTGGAACGATTCATAGGGGACGGTAGTAGAGTCAAACGAAATTGGGGAGTGTAAATTGATTACTGAGTGAGTCTTTCCGTTTGTTTACTTACAAATTTCAGGCGAGGGGGAGGGAGCGCTGAGTAAATTTTTATCTAACAAAGGAGCAACAGAACAAATAACTTACAAGGGAACATCGAGGACTGATACACTCCGATTTTGATGAAACTTTGCATAAATATTTATTAGACCTGTTTATGAAGATAACTGTAATTCGTTGGTGCCCATTTTTCACTTTGAGGGAGATATCAATCCTTTTATCCGAACCGCCCTTTCTATATACGTGCTTATAAATCGTAAATAACAAAAGATATAAAAAAATAGTTGAAATAAAAGTTATACCGTTTCTTGAGGTCTATAAAGCTGCGTAAAGTTTTTCAAAACGGAGGGGGAGGGGGAATTCGATTTTGCAAAAAGGATGATTTAAAAAAAAACTTACACGCAGCTTTATAGACCTCAAGAAACGGTATAACTTTTATTTCAACTATTTTTTGATATCTTTTGTTGTTTACGATTTATAAGTGCGTATATAGAAAGGGCGGTTCGGATAAAAGGGTTGATATCTCCCCCAAAGTGAAAAACGGGCACCAACGAATTACAGTTATCTTCATAAACAGGTCTAATAAATATTTATGCAAAGTTTCATCAAAATCGGAGTGTATCAGTCCCCGATGTTCCCTTGTTAGAGAACACAAAAATGTAATTAGGAGACAGGGTCCCAATAAATAAAATCGAGGTATCAATCACGGCAAAGTTGATCACGATTCGAAACGAAATCAAAGTATCAAAACCCAATGGATAAATACAGTGATTCAGATTTATTCTAAAATCAGATCTGTATGTTTGGATAGGTTTAAGCTAACCTAAGATTAAGTTTAGATAAAAGTAACATAGTACTTACATATATCACTAATTTATGTTTGGCAACAACAAACGACAGATTAAGAATTTCTTTCGTTTAAAAATGTTTCCACATTCATCTTTGAAAGATCTATCCAGCATAGCATTATGAAGAGTAAGAAAATGAGAAAAGGAAACGTCGTTTTGCAGTTCGTGAACAGCAAACGAAGGAAATTTTTCCAATTTCCTTCCAAGTAATATCTTTCTTATTATTATCGTTATAATTTATATTCTCTTGATTGTATAAAAAGTCGTGATTCCGAACTAATTCAATTAATTCTTTGTGGTACATGATGAATTTTAACATACGTTCAGTTTGTTCCCTGACAAAATTCTGTCTGAATTAAATGTGTGTTGTAGTATGACAGTCTTCGATCAGTCATGGTTAGATTGCTTTAGTTAAATTATTCTTTTCGGGAATGTCGGTCGTCGTATGTCGAAAATGCTCCTTTAAGGAATATAGTATATGTATACAGTTGTATTGAACCCTTTCGGTCATGGCGTCCTCATATGAGAACATATTATATAAATGGTTGATATATCTAAATTCTGCAAATTTTACCGTTTGTAAACGCGTTACCCCCCGGACCTCCTTGGAGACATTTTATACAACTGAAAAATCTCCTATTCGAAGATAATTAAATCTCCTATTCGATTCAAAAGATATACGAAGAAAAAATAATTCGTGACCGAAAGGATTAATAACCAATAACAATGTTTGCCTGAACCAAACCGAACAGAAACGTTCTGTGTCTGAACGGATAATATAAGTCGATCTTAATCCGTTCCTACTTGCTATTATACTAATAACGTAGTAATTAGTAAGTTGAAAATTAATTACTCCTATTTTTAATAATTTTAGAGCTTTCATTGTGTCTTAAAACAATTGCCCATTTCCCCCGTGGCAATCAACGTGTTAAAGTGTTAAATCACATAGATAAAGTAAAGCTGATCGTAAGACTCGTCGCATACGATGTAACAGTTGAAACTTGAATGGTCGCCCTCGTTGGCCGACCGAGGAGCCGCACACTTTCGA